ATGTGATTATCGGCCAGGCTGGCACAATTAACTAACTCACTCGGGAACCTGTTAGAAACGTCAAATCGAACCAGAAGCTCCAGGTTGGCACTCAAACCTGTCTTGGCTAGTTCCGGTGACTGAACTCTCAAGACTAACAACTAGTAGGGAACAGAGGAGAAGAAGGGTTCCGAGCAGGAGAGGCTGCTGAGGGCAGCAGCAGGCTATGGAGTGAGAGAGTTGTTTCTGTGTTGTCTTCCTTCAGCTCAATCTCCTTCCGTGGACTAACCCTGCACACGCCTTCTCTCCACACAGAATCGGTCCTGACGGTTTAATCAAGGTGAACGACTTTACCCAAAACCCCAGGGTTCGGCTGGAGTAGAAGCACAGTCTGGCGATTTTAAAGGGAGATACAGAGATGATTGTGCTTCAGAATGACTGAACCCCAGACACCATCCAATGCCAATTTTTGTGTACAACAGGTGCACACTAATAAACAATTAGGCAAACATACTGAATCAGAAATGTGTGGGATGAAGCGGCCAAGTTGTTGGAACCGAACACCTATCGTAAGAGGCTAGGAGTATGCGTCCCACACGGGCACTGAGTCGAAAAAGTGGCTGGTGGGGAAAGCCGGGCTGTCAGATTTCAAAGTAGAATGTTAAGGGGACACACGCTGATATTTTGTGATGAAACCAAACCCAACTCCCTGACATCAGGTCGATGCCGACTCATAGTGACCCTGTAGGACAGGGTAGAACTGCCCCTGTGGGTCTCTGAGACTGTCACTCTTCACAGGAGGAGAAAGCCGTAGTTTGTCCCTCTGAGCAGCTGGTGGTTTTGAACTGCTGACCTTGTAGTTAGCAGCCCAACTAGTAACCATTATGTCACCAGGCCTCCTTAGGCTTAAAATGAGATGAGATCAATCCCCGTTTTTACTGGTTCATGTCTCCATTTGTTGGTTTGTGTGTGTGTGTGTGTGTGTGTGTTATTGTTTGAAGTGAACGTGTTTGTTGCAAGACTCCAAGTCCACCTGCCTCCTTTTTGCTATAAGCCACTCAGACCCCTGTGTAGGTTTGAGGGCTAAGGAACCTGGAGGGCATTTGTTGGTTTTAGACTATAGGCAGTCCCGGGATTAGGGATGAACTCTGGGGCTCCTAAATTGGTCTTTCCATTGAAATTGTACAGAAATTGAAACAGGTGTGGTTTGTAGCTAACCTCGGCCAGGCACGTGTTTGTCTTAGTATATGGAATGGAATGTCCCTTTCTATGCATCAGAAGACATACTTCCAGATACATGAAAACATCTTTCATGTGAGAATGCAGTATTAATAATAATAATGTTTGGATGCCCATCACAAAATCGTTACCATTTGTTAGGACGTAGCACTGTAGGTGTCTCCAGTTGTTCCTATAGATAGGTTTTTTTTGTACGTAGGTCAGATGCTCATCGCTCCAGGGCTGCCCTGAAGTCACTCCCTCTCTCAGTCTGTTAGTTATAGGCCAGGAGTCCCAAAGGTGAATGCACTAGCTACTCACGGGAAGACTGGGAGTGCGAGCCACCAAGGAATGCCTCCAAAGAAAAGTCTGGTGATCTTCTTCCAAAACCTCAGTCATGTGAAAATCCTGTGGAAGCCCGGTTCTACTCTGACCCACATGGGGCTGACATGGTAACAAGAATAGGACTGCTACATAGAACATTGGATGCCCACTTATATGGAATTTCAGGTAAACTAGGTGTATTAGTGTGGGTACTTTAGAGAAACAAATCCACAGAAACTCATGTAAAAGAGAGAGTTTTATATAAAGGTTAAGTGCGCATCAAGAAAACATCCCAACCCAGTGCTGCCCAAGCCCACAAGTCCAGCATTATTACCCCATATGTCCAACACCAATCCACAAAGTCCTCCTCCATC